GCGAGTGTGCTTCCGGGCACTGTAATCCAGCACTTTGGGAGGCCAGCGTGGAGTGGATCACTTGAGCATGGCTAGGGTAGCTCGTCAAGACCACCCTGGGCACACATAGTTGAAGCCGTATCTCTACAATTAAAAAAAAAAAAAAAAGGAGGTGCAAGGCATGCAACCTGTAGCCAGTTACTCAGGAGGAGGGTGGACGGAGAAGGCTCCATTGAAGCCAGGAGGTCAAGGCATGCAGCGAGGTATAATTGCACCACTGCACTCCAGCCTGGTGAAGAGAAGACCCTGTCAAAAAAAGAAACAAAAAAAAAAAAACGGGAAGAACCAGGAAGGGTGGAATGAAGCGCTAGGCCATGAAAGGAAGGAAAGTTTAGAGAACTTTGCAACTTCTCCGTCAAATCTAAAATGATTCCAAAATAATTTTAATGTTTAGAGAAATTAATTTCCACAAACATTCAATTGACCATACTATATATTACATATATTACATACACACACACACACACATTATATAGTATTTTTTTTGAGATGGAGTCTTGCTCTGTCACCAGGCTGGAGTGCAGTGCGGCGATCTAGGCTCACTGCAACCTCAGCCTCCTGGGTTCAAGTGATTTTCCTGCCTCAGCTTCCCAAGTAGCTGGGTTTACAGGCATGTGCCACCACGTCAGGCTAGTTTTTGTCTTTTTAGTAGAGACGGGGTTTCACCATGTTGGCCAGTATGGTCTCAATCTCTTGACCTTGTGATCCGCCCGCTTTAGCCTCCCAAAGTGCTGGGATTCCAGGCATAAGAAACTGTGCCAGGCCCCAATTAACCAACTATTTTATCACACCTCTGGCCTTCTCTGATTGGTATCTGATTTCTGCCTGTGGACATTGTGGTGAATGATCTTGTCTCCTTAAGCTTATTTCCTTAACTCAAACCCTCACATTCAACTTCAAATCTGATCACATTTCTGAAAATACGTGGAACCTCATGACTTGGTCACTTACTTCATACATACGTATTCATTGCCTTGCAGTTACTCAGTTGAAGTGTGGCATTGGAAGAACAGACACCAACATCTATTTAAGATTTAAATGAAAGATATTGTTTACAGCTGATAGGAACAATTGTAATTTAGAATTGAACTGTGCAAAGAAAGTTAAGTCTAAGAAGTTGCAATCAAGGAGAATTCTTACTTCTAACAGAGGAGGTTTCATTTTTTCAGTTGAGAGTCGGGTTAGTTTTTGGCAGTGGCAGCAAAACAGAAATGTGTCTCTGAACCTGAGTAGCCCGCCCTCTGCTGCCTCAAGGAGGATGAGTTTATGTTGGGGACGGCAGAGGGAAGGAAGAATTTTACGTTTATTCTTATTTTTTAGTAGACGTTATTTTCTAGAGGGCTTGTTAGGTCTACAGGTTTTTATTCTTTATGTACTCCCGTTCCAACGTTCTCTTTTCTTCTTTCCATCTCAATTGAGGATTAGAAAGGAATTTTTAGGTCGTGTTTTCTGAACACAGCTTCATGTTCCCGTCCTGAAGTTTTGATTTCTTCTTCAAGTTGCCATAAACTGTGGTTGTGGGTTACTAAATGTTTTAACTCTGTAGCTTACTTTTAACAAATGGAGATTGCAATCATTGTTTTTACTCCCATAAAATCCTTGACTGATCCAAAAACTCTTGTCTCCCCATGACCTAAAATTAGTGGCTTTTAAGCTTTTTTAAACTTGCTTTTTTTAACTTTTAGGCCCCCAAACCAAGACGTTTAAAATTACAACTCATTACCTATCTATATCATGTAAGTGTAATAAAATCTCATGAAACAGCACTTACACCTTCACTATTTGCTTTTACAACAAGCGTTCACTCTTCTGTTCTAATTCATAACCTCTAAAATGGGTTTTGACCTGCAGTTTGAAAGACATGGCCCTACAAAGAATAAACCTTTGGGAATGGAACCCTCCTGTGACCACTCATACTCATTTGCACTGAAAGTTGACGTAGGAAGTAAAATCATATTTTGCTTATTTAAAAAATTTTTAATGTGAAAAAAATTTTTTTTGAGATAGGGTCTTGTTCTGGCACCCAGGCTGGAGTGCAGGAGTGCAATCACGGCTCACTGGAGCCTCAACCTCTGGCTCCGGCAATCCTCCCACCTCAGCCTCCCAAGTAGCTGGGACTACAGGTGTGCACCACCATGCCCGGCTAATTTTTGTGTGTTTTGTAGAGACAGGTTTTTGCCATGTTAGAGGCTGGTCTCAAAATCCTGAGCTCAAGCAATCCACCACCCTCCTCAGCCTCCCAGAGTGCCGGGATTACAGGCGTGAATCACCATGCTTAACTGAATCACATTTTACACATGGCATTTGTGCTGAAAATTCATGATGTTATACAAGTCAACTGAAAGGGAGAAAGAAAAAAACATGTATCTGGAAAAGTACGGACTACATAAAAGACAAATTAGAGTGCCAGTCTTACAGTGAAATAGAAGGTACGTTCATCATCGCACATCCAAGAGACGCTGTCTGGACTCCTTAATATTTTAGTAAAATATTGTGATTATGCCTGAATGCACCCAATTAGCTAATTGTGCCGTCATTTTTGATGTCTGAAACAAAAGTCTTCTTGGTCTATATAATGTCTCACAGTTGAATGTTTGTGATTAGGAGTTTGCACATCTTAACTTGGCACATTTTGTTAATTCTCAGAAATGCAGAAAATAGGGCTGGGTGCGGTGGCTCACGCCTGTAATCCCAGCAATTTGGGAGGCCGAGGCGGGTGGATCATCTGAAGTTAGGAGTTTGAGACTAGCCTGGCCAACATAGTGAAACCCCGTTTCTGCTAAAATACAAAAATTAGCAGGGCATAGTGGCATGCGCCTATAATCCTAGTTACTTGGGAAGCTCGGCAGGAGAATCACTTGAACCTGGGAGGTGAAGGTTGTAGTGAGCTGAAATCATACCACTGCACTTCAGCCTGGGCAGCAGAGTGAGACTCCGTCTCAAAAAAAAAAAAACAAAAAAAAACCAAAAAAAACCAGCAGAAAATACAGGCCTGTTCGGGTTAGATTTATCTCATAGATCGTAAGCACCACTATCTCTCCACTCTCAGGCAATAACTCACTTAGATAATAACCAACCAACAACTCACAACTACATTTTTTCTTTCAAGAAATGTAAATTGGGGGGCAGCCGGAGCAAGTGGCAGCCTCCCTGCTTCCTTCTGCATTCCCAAGCTGGCAGCTACTGCCCGGGGCCCGCAAGTGTGGGCTGCTGCCTGCTACAGCCTCTGTCACTGCAGTGGAGCAGCGAATTCCCTGTGGCCTGCCGCGCCTTCGGCATCAGAGGACGGAGTGGGCGAGGCTCGTGGAGTCCCAGGGACCACTGGCTGCTCTGCCTGAGCATCAGGGAGTGGTGAGGAAAGGCCAAGCTGGGTTTGCACATCTTTGTCTGCAGGCTGTCTCCAGGCACGGGGTGCCAGGAGGGAGAGGCAGCCTGGGCATGGGCAAGAGATGACTGTAAATATTTCAGCCCCACATTCTTTATAGAAATGTACAGCTGTGTGAATGTGAAATAAATGTCCTTGACTCCCAAAAAAAAAAAATCAAGAAATGTAACCTAGGGATGGCTTTCTTCTCAGGAAGAATCATTTTCATTACCCTATTATTTATATTTAAATGCTGTTTCAATAAAACGTAAAAACAATTTCTTTGGCTAACTGTCCCTCAAACTTTTCGTGTTTCACTTTAAACTCTGCAAATAAATGAGTGAATGAATTAATGTTGAGAAAAAGGTATTTGGCTTTCATTGGTCCTTAAGTGCCTACAAACTTGGAAAATGATATAAATACTACCCAAACCTAGGACTTGGATTTCAAGAGCTTGAAAAGAACTAAGTGGCAATTAATTTTTTTTCCCTCATTTGAGCGAGGGCAACAATGTTTACTGACAAACAAGCCTTGGGATCTTGGCTTCATTGTTTCTCCCACTGGGCCTGTTTCCATTGTGAAAGGACTTCAGTTGGCTAGATCAGGGTTTTTCATGCTTTCACCATTGGCCACAGCAAGAAAGTCATTTTGTGTCATGACCAAGTTCACATATATTCATTTTCATCTGTAACAAATTCCATGAAGCAGGCCCCATGATCCCCTATTTGTAAAAGTATGAAAAACATTGGTGGTCTTAAATTATCTAAGAATACAATCCTGTAAGAGAGTAGCAAGGTTAATTTCCACCTTATTCTTCTCACTAATTCTCAGAAACAGATTTCTACTGTGTTTCACATTCTGCAAATGGCAATCTCCATCACAGACTTTTAGAAGATTCTCTCCTGGTGATTCAGGAGCGCAGGAGTGAGAAATATGCCTTTTGAGGACTGTAGAGGCTACACTGTCTGAAGATGTGGCAAACAGCAAGAAAAGTGATAGTTCTCTGATTTTCCTAAGTGGATCTCCAGCTAGTTGTAAAACGAAGCCTTAACTATCCTCTTGTCTTTTCCTGTAACACAACCCACAAAATTTCCTGCCCCATCTCCTATCCCTTTAAAGCGGACAGCTGGCTTAGCTAGTATTTAAAAAGTTATTCCTGGTACTGCATTGAACCTAGAAGAAACAAAACACAGCAACTCTTTGCTCTGCACTATTTACATAGTTCTGCCTTACCCCAGGTCCTTCGAGTCAGAAAGCTTGGGGTGACTTGAAAAATGCCAGGGCAGACAACCAGTCTCTAAGCAAAACCAAGAAGCACCCAGCTAAAAACTTTGTTTGCACAGATGCAAAGGCACGACATCTACATGGCAGTATCCGAATTCCAAAGTTTGTTTTGTTTTTAGTTACACACCCAACCACATGCATAAAATGAGTGTAGAGAAAATGTGATCTTTCCTATTTTTAGGTTGAAATATGGGGCTCATAAAAGTAGGGCTGCCACAAATTTTCACATTCAGGGATAACTTATAACCAGGAAAAGTACCAACACCACACACACACACACACACACACACACACACACACACACTCCCAAATCTAACAGTGGTAAACAGTTTTTATTCAGGCAATGAAACATGGAAAAAATATATTAGTAATCATTATAATAATTTGTGAGTATAACTTTTACAAATAGTTACTTGACATATAAAAAGGGAAATTACTGTGCATATAAAATTTATGTAGATGAATATTCCACACAACACAATCCTGATAGCAGTAGTCAATGCAGCGTTCATCCCTCCAGATGAGGGGTTCCTCACACACTTCATGGCACCCGTGGGGACACAGTGGAAGCAGATGTGCAATGAACATTTACTTGGCACATTAGTATAATGGATATCTATTGGCAAACACACACTTGCTAACAGCAATACTGAAAAGTTTACTGCTACCTCTGAGATTTAAAAGAAATGCCTGGTTCCTATCCCGATGGCTGAGAAGGACCAAGGCTGAGGCTCTGGTGTGGTCACCTACACGCTGCCCTGTATCTGGACTGGGGATGGTTTGAGTTCAGATTTGTATATGTCCATCTGAAAATTCTTTATAAATATAGAATTAGCAGTTAATGATGTGACCAGGAAATTACTGTTTTGAGTATATTTCAGATACCACTAAAAGGCAGAGGGGGAGAAAGTGGCATCTTGAGAGTTCTAAATTAAAGGATCGATACAGGGAAGGTTCAGGCCACATCTCAGCTCTGAGTCTGGCCTCCTCCATACAAGTTAAAGCATTACACAGACTGCCACAGGCCAGCATTGCACGCAACATCTCCATATTAGAACTATAACCAGAATATATATATTTATATAATAGCTGTAACCATATTATAGTTAATAAAGTCATTCCTTAGGAATCTTGTTTGTCCAAATCTAACTGCATGCTAAGAGGCACAGAAATGGGATTGCATTTGGACGAAAAACTACGAAAAGTGCAATCTTTAGTCTCCAGGATGCAAGCTCTGGCACTAGGGGATGGGTCTTCCCTGGAGAATGCTGCCGCTGATACTCTCTTCCAGAGGAGATCCTTTGAGAGGAGAGTCCGTTATATTAGTTTCTTTACTGTTACTCTATGGAGACTCAAGGATTTAGTGGTAAATTGCTTTTTAAAACTAACTGGAATCTGGAGGCCAGTCAAACCTTTCTGGGCAGATATCTCCTTGAAATACTTCTTTATTAAAATATTTGAAGAAGATAAGACTTCTTAGACCTTTGGCTTGACATTCTGGGATTCCCAGACTATATTGTTCTTTCATAAGCAAATAATAATAATCTGTTATCTTTTAGATTCTTCAGAATATACACATCTTTACTTTAAAATCCCTCACTTGAATCATGTAATCTTTCAAAACCTAGTTTCTATCTTCCCAACAACAGGATAAAGTCAGAAATGCAAGTCAGAGAGCAAGCTCACAATCACATGACGGCAGAGACAACAGTCAGAGACAGTTCATGAGATGGCTACCAGTTATAATGAAAAACCAAAAGGAAGTTAAAAGGGGGCTTCAGAAATTTTACTCCACTAAAAAAGAATGTGCTGAATCACTTCCAATCAGTATACACAGACTTAACCAATGCTTGCTCTTAAAAAACCCTTTTGAGCTTACAGTAACCACTGAACCCTTTGTAAAGTTACCTTTATGGAAAAGGAGTGCTTCACTCCAGCTGCTTTTACCCAGCCCAGGAACATTTGGGGGCGGTTTACTCTCCCTGTTTATAATTAGAACGAATTCAGGGCTGTCTAATAAATATCTAAGTATTTGTGTGAGAGCTGTACAAAGTATGGGTAGGTTGAAAGGGTAACTGGCTAGAAAGAAAATTCAACTTGAGCTGTCCTCCAAAACGAAACATAAATCTTCCCTCAGATTCCATACCATTCTGGAAGGCTGCCAAATCCTAGGTTTTTCAACATCATGTGCTTCTGTACTTCCTAATTTGGGCTGAGTCGAAGAAGCTAGAAACCACGTGAGAAACTGGGCTTCCCGGTATTTCCAGAGCAGTTTTATAGAACAAAAGGTTTGGGTAGGTCACTGGTTGGAAGGAGACTCCTCTAACCTTGACTGTGACTATCCGGGCAGCCACGGGGGAAATTGTTCAGTCGGCCTCATGTTGCATTCCCCAATTAAAATACTGCTGGATAAAGGCTATCTACACTTTGGCAAAGTCAAAAGCTAAAGAAATTGCCCTGGATCCAGAATCTCAATAGGATCACCTAATATTCCCAAACCACCATCTAGGCCAACAGCTGCCTTCTACTTTCCTTTTTCACTTTTGGTTTGTTTTTTCGTTTTTTTTTTTTTCTTGTTGTTTTTTTGAGACAAGATCTTGCTGTCACCCAAGATGGAGTGCAGTGGCATGATCATGGTTCACTGCAGCCTTGACCTCCCATGCTCAAGTGATCCTCCCACCTCAGCCTCCCAAGTAGCTGGGACCACAGGCATGTGCCACCATGCCCAGCTAATTTTTATATTTTTGGTAGAGACAAGGTTTCGCCATGTTGCCTAGGTAGGTCTCAAACTCCTGGCCTCAGGCGAACCTCCTGCCTCGGCCTTCCGCAGTGTTGGGATTACGGGAATAAGCCACTGTGCCCGGCCCTTTTTCTCTTCTGTAACAGGGTTTATTATCGCCTAGCTAGCATGTTATTTGGCCCTCACACGTGTTGAGGCAAACTCTATACTATATTCTTACTCTCCGGAGTTCCAAAACCCTTTTTTATTTTAAAGAAAAATAAACAAACATACTTCATTCTGCCCAGTATATTCTCTTGATCTGTACAAGCTACATTTTAATTCTCTTTGGAGAGGCGGCATCTGTTAAGTTAGAATGGGGGATATTTCCTTGTAATGGTCATGGCTAAGAGGCCAGGGCAAGTATCACTTAACGAGGGTACTCTGGTGCTCCCTGTCTCCCTGTGCATCAGCTTCATTCACTGGGGTCAGGTTCTTAAGGGGTCTCTTCCACCAGTGTGCTAGGGAAGGACTGCCGTTACCTCTGTTTAACACATAGCTACTTTCTTAAACACAATAAGCTTAAAAAGATGACTACAGATTTACAGTGGAGGCCACTATAAGCCTTTCATACTTAAAACAGATCAATATAAAACAAGTAAACATGAAAACACCAAAACACAGCAGCAAAAAGATTTAGCAATCAACGTTTCTGCAAAATGCAAAATTAACTTCTTTAGCAGTAGAGGACTAAAGAGGAAATCAGTTAGACCAAGGGGAGACACATGCCCTTGGTACTATGACCACTAGGACAGCATTCATATTACACCACAAGCGACTGCTTTCAAAGCTCAAATGATTGTCAAGCCACTTCTCAAACGACAGATAATTTCTGTTGTTCTTTTTTATACAAAATGTTAAGACAATAGGCTTGAAAATACAGCCTAAGCACCAATTATGATAAATGCATATTGGTAAAATGTGACTTCTGGCTTTAAAAGACATTATTGACCTCCCTGGGGCTAAAGATTGCACCCATGTGAGTAACACACTGCTAAAGAAAAATTCATTTTTTAAGATCTATAGAGGTTCTCCACTAGGCACAATTCATTGCTGAAGTTGGATCATGCAATAGTTTTACAAGAGAAATAGGAAAACATATATATACTGAATATAGTGCATATCACCATGAAGACTTTCAGGGTGTAAGATTAAGAGGAGAGTGCTTTAAAACACTTGCATGGATTTGGGTTTGCCTATTCAAATGAAAGGGAATTCATTGAGATTTATATGGAAAAATTCCATGTTGGGGTTAATGGCCCACCACTCTGAACTGAGTCCAGTAAGAGCTTGAGGAATTTGGCTTTGTTAGTACAGACCTTCTCCTTGCACTCCTCTTCTCAGTATTCAAGCTGTCTTTGTTTAAAAATATGCAAAATGCACTGATTTTTGGAGTGGTTCACGTGACTTTTACTGCTCATTGTGTTAAAAATTCTGTCTTAAGTTAGAAGGTAATTTTTGCTTTCTTTTCAACATCTGAAGAACAATGGGAAAAAAACATTTCTTCGCCTTATAATTGTAAGGTGCTACCTTTTAATTAAGATCTGAGCCTTTTACAAGTAGATTTTCTTCACATATTTAAAATAGATCAAAACTCTGTCTCAAAAAAAAAAAAGATAATGAAGACTAAATGTTGATTTTGTATCAACAAATGGAGGCAGAGGAGAGTAAATGACTCTAGGGCAGATTTGCCAAACCCTAGCTTGGAGGGCCTCCCATATTGCCGTTCATGCAGAAAGCAGACACTACCATCAGTCTGAGGACTAACCCTAAAGGGGCCACACCCATTAAAGCTGAGGAGTGTCCAAATACCAGGGCAACAAAATGTCATGGCAAATAGTCTTCTGCAGACATGAAAATCCAAGACTGTGGTCTTCATATCTTTAATCCCCCAAATTCTTAAGTTGGTGTTCTGAGTCAGGACTCTATTTCAAAATAGGGTCTCACATCGAAGGAAATATATCCTTCTGTAGACAAGTTCTTACTTGACTATGCTTCAGGGAAAAGAGTAGCAGCATCTATAAATATACATGTATGTGTGTGAGAGTGTGTGTAATAAAAGGGGACCCAGAGCCCCTTCTTGATTATAAACTGGAAGTAACAATAGGCCAAATTGTCTCCTTAAATAAAACCACTGATATTAAAAAATTAAAAGATTAAATAGATCACAAAAAAAAATCAGACAGGTGGTGTAGAAGACCCCAAAGAGGAGCTACAAATTTTAACACATTTGGGAAAGTAAAGATGACTTTAAAACAAACTAAACATAAAGAAATCACAAACCCAAACTCAGCAGCCTAATGGAACCTTCATATGGGGAACTGGAAGGCTCCAGCACTGTCAGGTCACACTCCTTTCTAGACTACGCAACCCTCTAGGGTTTCTTCCAGGGCTGTTGCATTGGCAGCAAAGCGGGACAGGCAGCAGTAGACATGTGCTTTTTTTAAGTTTTTTTTTTTTCTCTGCAAAGGGGCGATTATTCCTGGATAAGGCAAGATAATTGTGGTCACAAGAGAAGCAGCCAAATGCAGATCTGTTGAGCTAACAGGGGGAGTCTCAGTCAGCCTTTCCCAGCTTTGCAATCAGCTCATCACAGATTTTTGTCAGTTCTTCAATTTCTTGGTTCTGAAAGACAAAAGACACAATTACGCAGGCCACTTTGTATTCTGAAATAAAGGCAAATAGAGTTAACTAGTCCCAAGTCTGGATATAGCCTACCCTAGTCATCCCAATTCAGTGATTTTTAACTTTTCTACATCAGAGATGCTTTAAAGAAAAAAAGGCTACACATCTCAAAAACAATGTACTCATAAAATCATGCTTAAATTGAGTAAAGGGTGAAGACAGTCACCAGCCCTCTGAAACTCGTCCATGAATCTCTTAGTTCCCCAATTCTCTTGTTATCAGAGGAATTATCTGGGGTACTTGTCAAAAACATAAGTATCTGGGTCTCACTCAATCCATTAGCATCTCCAGGGATGCTGGAGTCTGAATCTCCTACGGAGCACCATTCTAGGGGCTATCAGACCCTGTGATAAAAACTCCTGCTCTTGATGAATGGATGGCACAGGTATGAGTACATAATTGGAAACGCAGTAAGGAAAACACACCGGAGACATATAAAAATGGAAAGCTAAAAACTGCTTAGTGAGAAACAGGGATTGTTGCTAGTCCTGGTTTTCACTGATCTATAGCAGTTTCTCAAAGCAGCACTGCTGATGTTTTAGGATGGATAAGTGTGTTGTCAGGGGCTGTCCTGTGCATTGCAGGATGTTTAACAGCATCCCTGGCCTCCTGCACTTTATACCAATAGCATCTCCCAGTGGTGACAACCAAACAAATATATCTCCACACATTACCTAACACCTAACACCCCCTGGAGGGCAAAACTGCCCCCAACTGCAAACCACTGATCTAAAGCAATGAAGGGGGAGATGGCTTCATATTAATATATTGCATAAAAACAAAAACAAAGAAAGAAAGGCAGTCTCAAGACCCCAACTAGGAAGGTGTTCTGAACTTCAGTTAAAATGCAACTTCCTCTCTGCACCCTGCCTACGGATGATTTCCACATGATGTGCTTGTAAATTTAATGGTTTGACTTGTTTGTTTCCACCTGGATCAGTTCAGAAAGGAGATGGACTGAAGTGTCTGAGCAGAAAGCCAAGGCCTCTTTCACCCAGATCTGTCATAAGCGAGTCACTGCTGAGGAGGAAAACCAAACATCTCTGTGGCCACCCAGATCAGGCCCCTTTCTGTACCTTCTGCTGTAGGGCCCTTTCCAGGGACTCCACCTTCATCTGCTCTTTCCGGAGTCCAGCATGGAGAGCTGCACTCTCAGCCTTTGCTTTTGTTCGAACCTGCGCAATCTCCTCATTGGCTCTGTTTATGGTGTTTGGGTGGAATAAAGAGACAAAAAGCATATGATTAGCCACTAGTCAAAGCCAGGATACTAACCACTGACATCTGGGAGGCACAGCTCCCAAAGAATTGACTGCATGATAAAAGAAAACACAAAAATCGGTGACCTAAATAATCCCATTTTAATTTATAAAAATTCAATTTACAACTTCAAAATTTGTATCTCACAGCAAATGGTTTCTACAACAGTCTTAGATTTTTTTTTTTTTTATAGCCCAGTACAAAAGCGGACTGGATAATTTTGGAGACAATCACAGCTAGAGTCAGGATACTAACCACTGACATCTGTGAGACACAGGCTTACAGGGAATGAGTTTATTAATGAGAAGTGAAAGACATTCTTAAAAACCATAAATGTCAGTTGATGAACAGCCAGTAAACTGATGAAAGGATGCTAAAGCCTCATTAGTAATCAGAGGCATGTAAATTAAAATGATAAGCTTTGAAAATTGATTGAATTGGCAAAAATTAACAAGGATAGTCCTGTGTGGGCCAAGATACAAGGAGACAGGCAGGCTCATGTGCCAATGGGCTTGGAAACTGGCGCTGCCCTGTGGCAGGCAATGCGGTAGTCACCAGGACAACTTAAAGTGTACACGCCCTCCGACGCAGCAATCCCACTTTCAGTTATGTATTCACAGAAATACTTCCACCTGGCACAATGATGAGTGCACAGGACGTTCGCTGTAGTGTTACCTTCAATGGAAGAAAGTTTGTAACTGTCTAAGTGCCCATCAATAAAGAAACGCTAGAGTTCCACGACCTAATAAAAAGAATGAGATTCAGCTGTATGTTCTGACATGAAAAAATGGCCGCGATATGCTATTGAGGGAAAAAGGAAATTTGTCTAATGTGATTCCAATATTGTAAATATTTTTTATAGTTCAAAATCATAGTATTTATACAGACACAAAGAAAAGACTAGAGGGATATACAATAAACCTATGTATAATACATAGAGGGATCTGTATAACCTATGGAGAAGAATACACAAGAAACCTAATACAGTACTATGGGAGTGGGAAGGGGGCAGGGGAACTTCTGTTTCTACAAATAGAAATTTAGGCATCAAAATGTAGAAGTATGTATTACTTTTAGTTAAAAAGTCAAGTTGGAGGCCAGGCGCAGTGGTTCATGCCTGTAACCCCTGCACTTGGGGAGACCAAGGTGGGTGGATCACTTGAGGTCAGAAGTTCGAGACCAGCCTGCCCAACATGGCAAAACCCCGTCTCTACTAAAAATACAAAAATTAGCTGGGCATGGTGGCGGGTGCCTGCAATTCCAGCTCCTCGGAAGACTGAAGCAGAAGAATCGCTTGAACCCAGGAGGTGGAGGTTGCAGTGAGCTGACATTGTGCCACTGCACTCCAGCATGGGTGACAGAGTGAGACTCTGTCCCAAAAAAAACAAAAAATCAAGTTGGATAACACTCCCCAGGATAAACTCCAAATGCATTAGATTTAAGGATTAAAAAAACTAAGCCAAAATGTGTAAGTAAAACATGGTAGAATATTTTCTATCCAGCATGGGGAAGATACTTGTTACTATGACAAGGAATCCAGACGCTGTAAAAGAAATGACTAATACATTTCAGCACATAAAAGTAAATTTCTGAATATCAAAAAACACCACAGGCAGAGGCAAAAGACAAATGATAAACTTGAAAAGTTATTCAAAATTCTTATCACAAAGGGCTGGTGTCCCTAATATATAAAATATATAAACTGACAACAGGAAAATGGGCAAAGAATAGAGTAATTCATAGTAAAGCAAATATATTAATAAATGAATGCTGAAATATATTCAATTTCATTCATAAGATAAATGCAAATCAAAATTACATTAAAATAAATGCTCTGGGGCTGGGCGCAGTGGCTCACACCTGTAATCCCAGCACTTTGGGAAGCTGAGGCAGGCGGATCACTTGAGGTCAGGAGTTCCACGCCAGCCTGGCCAACATGGTGAAACCCTGTCTCTACTAAAAATACAAAAAATTAGCTGGGTGTGGTGGCGTGTGCCTGTAATCCCAGCTACTTGGGAGGCTGAGGCAGAATTGCTTGAACCCAGGAGACGGAGGCTGCAGTGAGCCTAGATCACACTGCTCCACTCCAGCCTGGGTGACAGAGCGAAACTCCGTCTCAAAAAAATAAAAATAAAATAAATAAATAAATAAATGAATGCTCTGTTGCTTGCCAAAAACAAATACCTATGTTGAAATATCATTTTCACCTATTTGATTTGCAGAAAATAAAAACGTTGATCTGTTGGCATAGCTGCAGAAAAAAGAGATGCTCTCATGTATTATATAAGGCTATAAAATGATAAAAGTCTAACGGGGCCAATCTAACAACACTTATAATTATAAATTCATATATGCTTTGGTCTAGCAATTCCTTTTCTAACATACAGATCATAAAGATAACTCACAGGCATGCAAAACGATCACCTACCAGGTCACTTACTACAGCACTGTCTGTGGCAGCAAGACATTTGAATTAACTTTAATGGCTAACAGGAGGGGACTGTTAAATAAATGATACATTCCAACAATGGAATACCATTAGAAAAAAAAAGAGGAAGCTCTTCTTGCACTGACAGGGAAAGATTCTCAAAATTATATTGCTAAGCAAAAACAGCGAAGTATGCTATAATCATATAAAAAAGGAGAAAAAAATTTTAATAGGAAGAAAAAACAGAAACTAACAACAGTGATTACCTGGCATAGAGAAAGATGGGAACCCAGTGGAAGGAGGCAGGAGCAGATATACCTTTTCTTACTTTTTAACGTTTTAACAATGGGAAAGGGGTTTAAAAAGTGAAATAAACACATACAAATACAACCTGGAGTTGCAAAACAGTGAATCTTTTTTTCCTCATTGTCAGTCTTCCCACAACATCATGAAGAGTGAAATTCAAAATTTACAAGTTCTTACTTGTCCAGTTTTTCTTCTGCGTGGATTTTCAGGGCCTGGTATCGCTGCTCCTCTTGTTTAACTCTGGCTAAGTAATCCTGAGCACATTTCTTCAAGGCTTCTTCATTCTGTTCCAAAGCAAAAATTGAAACTAAACAGGTCATTTTGTTTCTTCTAATCTACCATGTATCAGAGTTTTCATTTTTTAAAGAATGGAAAAATCGAATTAACTCAGATATCTGCCTTTTATTCATACTCTGCAGTAATTTGAAATAGCCACATGTAATTCTCATTGAGGAAATTCTACATAATGTCTTCATGTGTTAATTTTCAATATCATACAGTAAGGGTCAGTTATACCAATATGCCTACTTTAGGAAGGCAGTTATTCAAAACTGAATGGCAATTTGACTTCCATATTTGATAAACTGGCCAGTTTCATTTTTATTTTAATATGAAAATAAAGACATTTCCTTGCTATAATTGTGTCTGGTTGATATGGTAAAGCTAAATTAAATCAACAGGCCCATTTATATCTAAATTTGAAATACTATACTTAATTCTTCTAGAATATGCAGCTTGAATTTTTCAGTGACATGGAATTCCTTCTAATCCCTTTTACTAAAACTGAAATGGTGAATTATCAGAAAGAACATTTCTAGAATTCACCTGAGGTCTGAGGGTTCAATTAATAGTTCTTGCAGTCTACGCCACAGCCTGGGGTTTATTGGCTTGACACAGGAGAGGAATGGCCAAGACATGGCCACCCATTGGGCCAGATGCCTGAACAACCAAAGAAGGAAAAATGTGGAAAAATCCAGCTTCACTGGAATAGAGGATACAAGGCCAGTAGGTCCTGAGCTCCTATTTAGAAGGATACCCACAACCTCTGGCATATGTATTTGATGACCAGTTACCAAGGAAATACACTATTGGAAATACACCCGGAACAGAGGGAAAAAACACTCTACCTTCTTGAACCCTTCCAGAACGCCTTTCAGGTTCTCGTATCTCCTGAAGAGATCAGAAAGGGACCTTTCCACAGAGTTAAGGTCGGCCAGGGCCTGTTCCTTCTCCATGGTCAGTTGCTGGAAGCTTTTCTGAGAGGTCATACTTGTCCTTTGTTCATCTTCTGGGAATCACAAATCAAAACGAACGACATATTTATTCAACAAATAGAGACTCCCTAGAAGCCAAGCAGTGTTCTCGGTGATAGGGATACAGCCGGGGATGTGACCAAGTTCCTGCTCTCACGGCTTACATTCTAGTCGGGGGAGATGCGTGGTGACAAGCGATGGGGAAAAAACAAGGCAGGGTAAGGGGGAATGGGGGTGAGGAGGGGGCTGTTACTGTACAGAAAGTACCCGCTCTCAGAGGAGAGATTTGAGCAGAGACCGGACAGAAATGAGGGTGTGAACCATACAGCTACCTGGGAGGAGAATATTCTATAGAGAAGAACAGCTGTGGTAAGGCCCGGAGCTGGGAAGGTATTAGGTGATGTGGACAGTAGAAAGTATCATTTCGGTAATTTAGTGGAGAAAGGCCAGACTTTGGTTTAGGGAGTCGATCCTTACGATATGGATGAGAAGAGACTCTAAATTCAATGCAGGAGGCTCAATCTTGTTGTTTTGTAAAGGCACCACTGGGTCTGATGCAGAGAAATTACAACCTGCACTAGAGTAAGAACCCTGCACCAAAATACAGGATGCTCCCAGCGGGTGTTAGTGATGTGACCAGGCCACCAACAGTCACAGAATTCAAGGCCTGCCATCCTCTAAAATGAACCTAACTACAGTTGACCCTCATTATTCACCAAGTACATATTTCCCAATTCGCCTACTTGCTAAAATTTGTCATCCTCAAATCTATCCTCCTGGACTTACAATAGTCATTTGTGGATGTGTGCAGAGTGGCAAAAATGCGTTAGTCACCTGATATGCACGCTCTCAGCTGACAGTGAACAAAGCAATACTCTGCCTTCTTGATTCATTCCATAAACAAGTGTTCCTCTTGTGGTCTATTTGGGCCACGTTTGTTGCATTTGTGTTCTTTTGCTGGAGACCTCACTGTTCTGAGTGGCCTCCAAGGGCAGTGCTACAGTGCTGTCTAGTGATACTAAGCACAAGAAGACAGTGAGGCTCCTTAAAATACATACATTACAGAAGCTGTGTTCAGATATGAGCCAAAGTGCCGCCCACTGTGACCTCAATGTTAATGAATCAACCATATATATTAAATAAGGTGTCTTTAAACAGGAACACACATAAGACAAGGTTATATACCGATCAGTCAATGAAAATGTTGTGGCCAGATGCAGGAATCTAACTCTGTCTTTCCCCTAGGAGCAGTGTTTTTTTACTTATTTTCTGACATGGAGTTTTGCTCTTGTTGCCCAGGCTGGAGTGCAATGGCACGATCTCTGCTCACCACAACCTCCGCCTCCCAGGTTCAAGTGATTCTCCTGCCTCAGCCTCCCGAGTAGCTGGGATTACAGGCATGCGCCACCACGTCCAGCTAATTTTGTATTATTAGTAGAGATGGGGTTTCTCCATGTTGGTCAGGCTGGTTTCGAACTCTCAACCTCAGGTGATCCACCCATCTCGGCCTCCCAAAGTGCTGGGATTACAGGTGTGAGCCACCACGCCTGGCCAGGAGCAGTGTTTAGTATTCACTAATTCAGTGTTTGCGGCAACTTTACAGAACATACCTCCCACGAATAATGAGACGACTGTATCTAAGTGACAGACAAATAAAAGTTTGTGACATGGTCTGAAAATCACCCAGGCATCCGGCTATGGTTTAGGCTACCCCTGGGAATTATGTATTGAAACCTAATTCCCAGTGTGTGAGTATGTTCAGGGTGAGAGTGGGCATGGAAAGGAATTTTGGGAGGCGATCATGTCAGGATTAGTGTCCTTATAAAAGAGACCCCAGAAAGCTAGCCAGCCCCTTCTATGAGGAATGGGCCCTCCCCAGACATCTCATCTGTGGGCACCTTGAACTTTCCTGTCTCCAGAGCTATGAAAAATGTTTGTTGTTTATAAGCTACCTAGCTTACAGTATTTTGTTATACCAGGCTGAACAGACTAAGACAGATCCTATGGCTCATACCCTCGAAAAACAAAATGTTCTCCTTACCAATCATTTGAGCAATAGTCTTTTCATATTCAGCTACAATTTTCCTAAATGAGAAAAAAAGAACTTATTACCAGAGGAGGATTTTCAGACAATGAAAGTTGGAGAAATGCTGCCCCAAACAATTAAGCACATTAACGTATACCACCAATTTATGTAATCCATTTATCTGCTTTGGGGCTCTTGTTATCTCTCTCTCTCTCTTTTTTTTTTTTTTTTTACATTATATAAGGTTTCTTAAGGTTCAAAAAAGGTTAAGAAAAAAATCTTCTGTTAAGATTTTAACAGAAGATTTAAGATCAAAAAATCTTCTGTTAAGATTTTAACAGAAGATTTAAGATCAAAAAATCTTCTGTTAAGATTTTATGTTTAGTCAAACTTACATTTTACTTATAGAAACAACTGCCTTCCCTTTCTCTTTGCACCTATTTGAATACCGCAAGGAAATAGATTCATTTTGCTTAGACGAGTCAATCTTTTACAAACTAAGTTAAAGATATTCTTCTGGGCTCTTCCTGAGAGATGCGATCTGACCTTAGGCTTTCCTGACCTCAATCCACCCTTTCAGACACTACCTCTGATTCAGTTACAAGTTTTATTTTGTGACCTAATTCCAAAAGTATTTCGCTTATTCGAAGACTTTAAAGATCATCCTCTTGGGTTAACCTTTCTTCTAGTGAAGAGTGACAATGTCCTTCTGACCCAGTCCAGTGCTGGGTGCTCTGTGAGCCACATCACGTCCTCCCCTGCCCTCCATAGTGGTGCCCCCATTACTTTTGACGTCATATCCAAGTTGGTTATTATGTATGGCTACCACTCTCTCAGAGCAGGAATGTCCCTTCCTTTCCATCAAGCCCAGCAAAGGGCCTTACACCCAGGAAATGCTTAAAAGACAAATAATACAAGAGCAACAAATTAGAGGGATATATTTAAAATGTTTTTTAATCATTCAAGTGTTGACCACACAGTGTGTGAATTATTTATGCCTTTTTTTCTTCTCTACTTTGATTTCATCTTTAGTCATTTCATGGCTCATAACTCTCTTTTCTAAAAGTGAGGAAAAATAAAAAGATTTTAATTTCAAGTCAATCAATTTTGTTTCTTGTTAACAAGCTTTCTACCATCTATTTGGTGGTTACGTAATTTGAAACTCTCATGCATAATTAATTTTTTAAAAGTATTACGGACCAGGTGCCATGGCTCATGCCTGTAATCCCAGCACTTTGGGAGGCTGAGGCAGGTGCATTGCTTGAGCTCAGGAGTTAGAAACCAGCCTGGGCAACAGAGTGAGACCTCATCTCTAAAAAAAAATTACACAGGCATGGTGGCGCATGCCTGTGGTCCCAGCAACTTGGGAGGCAGAGGTGAGAGGATCAGTTGATTCCAAGAGGTTGAGGCTGCAGTGAGCCATGATCACACCACTGCACTCCAGCCTGGATGACAGAGTGAGGCCCTGCCTCAAAAAAAAAAAAAAAAAAAAAAGGTAGTATTATGAATTCCAATGTCTCTATCATTGGATAAGTCTTATTTTTCTGTATTCTAAATGGATATTTTGATACAAATTTCTGTCAGTTCTTCTAAGAAGATAAGAATTATGTGGGTTCTGTTTACATGTTATGCTCTGGACAGCACAAGATAAACTACAGTATTTGAATATAATAACTGGTTAGCAGTAACTCCTGAAATAACATTCTCAATCACAAAGCAAGATGCAAACAGCAAAGCCTTCAAGCTCTCAACACTTGGTTCTGTGGCAAGCAAACACTGTCATCACTTCATCTGTATCAAATCTAACAGTGCATAAAAGTATCCAGCCCCTCCCCAAACCTCCAGTCTAACCTCATCTCCAAAACTTCTTGCCGGGTCTCTTCATATTTCTTCTTCCATTCATTTGCTTCAATCTCTTTAGTGATTATCTAAAGTATAATAAAGCTTAGTTTTACCCAATCTATTACAATTTGCATTTGAGACTGGGAACTGAAATAGCACACAACCACGTCTAACCCAAGATACTCAATCTATATTAGAAATATAAACCTCAATATTTCATGTTTGTAAACATTTGGAAAAGTGTACTCTAAGCCACACAGGATGCTGGGATGTAAACACGGGAATAAAGATGAGTAGAACATCTCCCAGCAATTCCAAGTGGTATTTACAGCGTCTGTGAACTTTACCTTGGTCCAGGGTCTAGCTCTCAGCTCTGCAGGGCCAGGCCCTGACTGGGACAGACACCAAGAACAGAGCCATCTGACTGGCAGGTACTCACTCTAAGGCCATGTAATCGCGGTTGATGCCAGGCCACCAGAGAATCAAACTGCCACAAAATCAGAGCATTAGAAGTTGGCATGAGCAACACATTATCATTCTATAGAGATTTTTGACAGCTTCATAAAAACGGAGTCAGAGGAGGCGGCTCAGATGAGCTGGCTACATCTAGCTATAGCATCCGTCACCATCGGTAGAGTCTTGCTAGTTAGCCTGGAACCTAGGCTCATATTTGGGATGCTCTTGCTAACTGGAAGGAAATACTCTAAATTAATTGCCTCAAACTCCATTTGCCCTGGGCAGGGCTTGCACGGGCAGCCATGGCGCTCCACTTACTGTACTTCCCTGGCCATGCCTCTCTCTTCCTAATTGGTAGTTTCGTTATATTTATTAGGATCTCAAGAACATAGAAGGATGCATCCTGTGTGCTTCAGGTAATCAGGCATCTCTTTACTTTGATCCATTAGGTGATGATCTCATAGTTTAACTCCCAGGAAAAAGATCAAGTCATTTTTCTCATTTACAAGATTTTGGCCAGGCACAGTGGCGCATGCTTGCAGTCCCAGCTACTCAGGCGGCTGAGGCAGGAGGATCGCTTGACCCTAGGAGTTCGAGGATGCAATGAGCTATAATAGTGCCACTGTACTCCAACCCGGGTGACAGAGTGAGATCTTGTCTTTTATTTTATTTTTATTTTTCTGAGATGGAGTTTCGCTCTTGTTGCCCAGGTTGGAGTGCAATGGCGCAATCTCGGCTCACCACCACCTCTGTCTCCCGGGTTCAAGCGATTCTCCTGCCTCAGCCTCCCGAGTAGCTGGGATTACAGGCATGTACTACCACGCCCAGCTAATTTCATATTTTTTTTAGTAGAGACAGGGTTTCTCCATATTGGTCAGTCTAGTCTCGAATTCCTGAACTCAGGTGATCTGTCTGCCTTGGCCTCCCAAAGCGCTGAGATTACAGGTGTGAGCTACTGTGCCAAGATTTTGTCTCAAAAAAAAAAAAGATTTTGGTGGGTCTTCTTACCACTGCTCCCAAGTTTTGAAAACAGGACTAGCTGACATCCCTCATTACCAACTTGATGCTATTTTATAAAGCTGTAAAAGACCTACAGCTGAGGTGCTTAACCACTTTCAGCATACTATAAAAATTAAAACTAAAAAAAACTATGTAACTAAAAACTACAAAAATAAAATTACCACACAGTCCTTTAAGAACAGGTGGAATTGTCAAGAAACACACAAACCAAACACACAAAATACAGCATAGAAATAGGACAGGAGAGGGTGGGTAACTGATCAATGGTACACAACATTGTCTTTCATATTTTTCAGATAACCAGGAAAGGCCTAGCAGTGTTCTATTTTGAACAAAGGCTGTTAAAGAAACACAATACAGGAAGCAGAGAGTTGAACTGTTTAAAGAATGAATGAAAGTAGGAAACAACTGTGCATTACTGCAAAAAAATTACAAATGTTTAGGCATGAGCATATATCCTCCATAAAATAAAAGCACTGATTTTGTTACACATGTGAGCAAAGCTGGCAAAATTAGATATTTTAAATGTCAGGACTGAAAGATAAAGAAGGGTACAAAATTCTTAAGAATATTTCAGATTGTCAACATTTTACCCTGGAGACCAGAATGTCAGGACTCCAGCACCATTGCCATAGGGGGCCCTTTTTACGACCTAAACAAACTGCAGGCAATAAGAACTTCCAGCCTGGGATAACTTGAGCCAGCAGAGATGCAATCTACCTGCTGGTACATGGGCCTTACAAAGAAATGGAGTGATAAGCAGACCAAATAGGAGAGCTTTTACCTCTTCTCTTATTAAGGTGAGCACGGCTGTCTTGTCTGATTCGCTGAGGCAGATCCCATCCAGGGGGCTCTCACCTCCACAGGACACTGACACAGCAGCCTTCTCTGCAGAGGACTCCAGCAGCCCCTGTGGGGAAAGGGATTACATTGAATACATCAGCTTTCAGCTTCTTAACCCCAGACATCCTTCAACAACTTCCTCATTATTAAATTGATCACACCCTTTAAAACCATGTTTAAAGAAAAGTCAGTGGACGGGGGGGAGCAAATCAAATCTAATTATGGAACTAACTAAAGAAAAACTGTTATAATGACTCTCAGAGTGGTCTTAGCTTCTGTTGAAAAGATAACCTAGAGAAATTTTAGTCTGATCTAAAAGGGAGAAAGTGTGCTTATTAATAGTGGTCAGCCACCAAAGAACCACATGGATGACAGAGAAACACACCCATGATTAAGTTTCTGGAGATAAGCTCCATGTAAATGGAATTTTCTTTTTTTAAAAAAGAAAAAACAAAAACAAGTGACAGCTGCTCCTGTTACATATCGATGCTTTGTATGTATTTTTATTTAGCCACTGCAGATGGAAATGTTTCTAAAATACTAACTTTCAGGCCTAAGGAGGCAGAAATAGCAAAAATATTTGAACTCTTTGAACTCTCACCCCCACCCTTTCACCCGGACGATTCAGGATCATCCTGAACTTCCACTGCTCTGCGGAGACCTCCTGCGGTAACCCCGCCTGCTGGGTGTGTGCCACGGTTGCCCATATGCAAAACGGCCATACTTAAGTCAAGGTCCGTGCCTGTACGTTGATTCCTCCTTGCTACTAAGCCTTCCACTCCCTTCTGGCAGCACTTCACTCTCTGAGGTGCTTGCTCGCTTCTGTCATAAACTCAGGTTCCACAGCAAAACACTGGCAAACTTTTTTTTTTTTTCATGAGAACACGGACTTTGTACTACTATTTTCCTTCCTAAAAGACGTTTTTGGCGGCTATTCCTCCCACCTATGGAAGTAAACTTTTTATATAAACGAGTCATCTAATACTTTGGGAACATCCAAAATGCCAAAATGACCTGGAATAATCTTAAATGTGGGATAACTAATCAATTAGTTATTGATTATAATCAATCAGTTACATCTTGTGTGAATCAACACTAAACAGAAAGTCCAAGGTGAACGTAGACCAGTGGCTTTTAAATTTTTCAGAGTCATTATATAGTTTTACCCTCTCTCTAGAAAATGCTCAGAAACAGAATTTTAGCATGCGGCTTCACAGATCTCAGCCATGGGCCCAAAACAGAAACCTGTCTCAAGCCACAGAAAAGCAAAATACAAAAGCCACAAGCCGGCAGTGCCCATGTTCCAGCAGCATTTGGGGGAGGGCAGCCCACCATGCCAACAGAAGTCCAAGGTCCCCACAAAACCTCTCTTTTCTCTTTTGGGATAGATCTACCACTAGAACCAGAAGGCACTTGCAGTGGGCAGCCTCTAAAATGCCCCCCAACAACCCCTACCTCCAGTACTAATGCTCTCCCTCTGTAATCTCTTCAAGTGTAGGCTGGACCTAGTGACTCGTTAGAATATGGCAAATGTCATGGATATCACTTCTGAGGTTAGGTTCTGAACAAACTGACTTCTATGTTTTGAGAAGCTACAGGGAAAGGCCCATGTGGCAAGGAGCCGATGTCTCTGCCGACAGCCAGTGGGGACCCAAGACTAGCTAACAACCACGTGAGTGAGCTTGGAAGCAGATCCTCCCAGATCCTCCCTAAAAGGCAAGCCTGGATATGACTGCAGCCTGGGTCAACACCTTGACTGCAGCCTGCAATAGACCCTGAGTCAGAAGCACCCAGCAAAGCTGCCCAAGATTCCTGATCCACAGAAACAATGAGATAATAAACACTTGCTTTAAGTGTTGGAGTAATGTGTTATAAAGCAGCAGATAGCTGATACACACCTGGACATCTGAATCATCTCATTAACTTCCTGTGCCTTGTTTCTTATCAAGAAACTGTTACTTGCTTAAAGGGAAGTAATACAGGAGGTCAGGTTGAGACTTGATTCACCTCACTGTTACACTTCTGATTCTAAATTAACATTTCATGGGTCAGTCTCTTGTGAGTTCTTAGTTTAAGCCACGAGGTTGAGTCAACTTTAGGAAACAGACGCTCGGTGCTTTCCATGGCTACCAGGTTCGTGAGAATTTGGGAAATAAGCCCCCTAAAAATCTTCATAGCCAGGAAAACATCAACGTCTATTACAGAGTTCAGCATCTCATTCATTTGTTAAGGGGGTAAAAGAATTCAGTCTGTCTGCTTAACAACTCAATGCTAACACATGTGGGGTCCAGAAGAGGCAACATCCTGAGCAGGAGGTGGGAGATCAAACCTTAGATGGTGTTTGATGTCTCCAGGTGAGTGGGCTCTTTAGCCTGCCGGCTCTCCCCAGTCACTCTCCTCTCTGCCTGGCCACATTTATAAGCCTCACTACTCAAAATGCAACAATTCTTACAGGTGTAAGGGCAGGAATGTATGCCCTTGCCTACTTTAGCCATCTTTTCCAGTCTCCTAGGATTTAACTTTTTATATTCCTTAGTCCTTTAGGTTGCTTCTCAAAAAGTGCAGAACATCTCACAGGGGTGTCCAAGGAAGAGAATGCAGTCATGGGTTTAGTTTCTGTTTCTGGTTGGGGCAGTAAAGCCCCTTCCTCATCCCTCTTTTCTGCTTATCACTAGAGACAGAAACTAAAAACCATGGCTTCAGGCTGCTAAAAGCCTAAAACAAAACCAATCAGAACAACAACAACAACAAAATTAAGCAAGCTGGACAAGCTTGTTATAGAACCTACCATCACAGAGAATTGGCCAGAAGGTCTCTTTTAGGCCTGGGCCATCTAGTATGTCTTTAATGAAGATGCTAAATCAATCAATCATATCCTTCCAAAAGGGCTTCATTTCATGTTTGCCAATGCTTCTCCCAGTCCCTCAAAACGTTCACAATTGAGGACCAATGAAGACCAGTAGACAACAGAACTCAATGTACTCCTGGTTGCAAATTTACAGTGAGCACAGATGCCACAGATTCCCGTGGCTGTGTCCTCGCAGCAGGAGAATTCGCACCACTAATCTGTGGCAGTGTGCTGACTGTGCTCATTTGTCCTCGATCACAACCGAGCAGTACCAGCCCCTGCCGTACTCTAACAGAGACATGCCCGAAAAAGTCAAATGAACTCACCTTTTAAAAAATTTAAAACTTAAAAAGAAAAGTTAATTTCTTATATGAAAAATGCTGTGGAACAACAGCTGAAAAGCAAGGAGAGACTGACTCCCACCACTGATTGTACTCTGGCCTCAGTCCAGCCACCACCTACTGCTGGGCACAAGACCGCATAGGAATGAACTTCAGAGCAACACGGAGAAACTTAAAAAGTGAATGCTGGATTAAATAGATGATTTTTTCATTCAATGTTTTGCATGGTGAAATTTCTTTATACAATGTTTATTCAGTGTTCTAAGGAAGTAGGAGTTAATTTATGTTGGGAAGTTCAAATGGAGTTGCTTTTAAAAGGTCATAGCATATGATATGTTCCTCACCAGCTGCCTTCAGAGACAGTTTGCCATTTTTCTTTTCACTCTCTTTTCACTTTTTTCCACGTGTTTCCTATCAACACCACACCAGTGTATTCTAATACAACAGTGTATTCTAGCACACCACTAGTGTATTCTAGCACTTTACAGCTTAAATCTTTCACGTTATCATTTTATCTTATCCTTACAACCATTTTGATGAGGCAGATGGGTGCTACTCATTTTATGGATGAATCAGTTGGGAATCAGGAAGTTAAAAGTTTAAGAACTGAGTAAACGGGCCGGGCGCAGTGGCTCATGCCTGTAATCCCAGCACTTCAGGAGGCCAACACGGGTGGATCACCTGAGGTCAGGAGTTTGAGACCAGCCTGGCTGACATGGTGAAACCCCGTCTCTACTAATAATACAAAAATTAGCCATGCGTGGTGGCGCATGCCTGTAATCCCAGCTACTCAGGAGGTTGAGGGAGAACTGTTTGAACCCAGTAGGCGGAGGCTGCAGTGAGACGAGATTGCATCACTGTACTCCAGCCTGGGCGACAAGAGTGAAGCTTGGTCTCAAAAAAAAAAAAAAAAGAACCGAGTAAACCAGCCAGGTGCAGGGGCTCATGCCTGTAATCCCAATACTTTGGGAGGCCAAGGTGGGCAGATCGCTTGAGCCCAGGAGGTTGAGACCAGCTAGGCAACACGGCAAGACCCCATTTCTACAAAAAATACAAAAATTAGCTGGGTGTGGTGGCACGCACCTCTAGTTCCAGCTACTTGGGAGGCTGTGGTGGAAGGATCACTTAAGCCCAGGAGGTGGAGGTTGCAGTTAGCCAAGATCGCACCACTGTATTCCAGCCTGGGGAACAGTGAGACTGTCTCAAATAATAACAATAATAATAAAAACCTTAGTTAACCCAATACATCCGAAATATTATCATCTCAACATGTAGTTAATATAAAAAGTTGAGGCATTTATGCTTCTTCTTTTTCTGAGTAGCTACAGTTCAAGTGTGCTCAACAGCTACCTGCAGCTAGGGCTACTCTACAGAACACCGCAGAGACGACGTGTTCCTCAAGTGAAGAAACTATCTTATTTACATTTTATCCTCGTCACCTAACACTGACCAGAATTTAACAAATTCACATGGGCTTCAAAACAAATACTGAAAGAAATCTGAGCCCCACCCGGCCCTCCACATTCAGGAACTTACAAGCACAGTAGACCCGTCTTCTTCCATCTTCTGGCACATCTCCTTCTCTATGCCTAAGACAGAAAGTCATTTTTATAGTTATCCCAAGAAGTTGGTTCCTTTCCTCCCTAGTGAAAGGCTCTTGGAAACGCCAGTGTAGGCCGAGAATGACTATGAACACATGAAAAGCATTTTAAGATTTTATTTAAAAGGAATGCTGGCATTTTCTTGAGCGTTGTTATAAGTCCATGGCATTCAGAAGAGGAGCACGTGGTTAGTCGCCAGGAACAGGTCGTCAGCCTTCAGGCAGAAAGAACAGCAAGGCTGCCCCCTTGTGTCCATTAAAAGTTTGGAAAAATGCATTGTACTAACTATGGCATTATTTCAGAAAGGGGACGCTGTGTAACACTGATTTTTTTTTATCATCAAGTCGGAGTGAATTTAAATTCCAGCCCAGAATGGTGGCCTTGATCTAATTAATGCAGCAGATAAGATAATAAGCTTTAAAATTCAAGCCAGCACAACTAAACTCATTCGCCCCTCCACACCCTTCAAATGGGCTACCTTGTCTCAGGTCTATCCTCTACTAGGGTAGAGGGTGACATTTAAAATAACCAGAAGATGGCTGGGCACGGTGGGTCATGCCTGTAATCCCAGCACTTTGGGAGGCCAAGGTGGGTGGATCACCTGAGGTCAGGAGACCAACCTGGCCAACACGGCGAAGCCTCGTTTCTAATTAGCTTGGCGCGGTGGCGCATGCCTGTAATCCCAGCTACTCGGGAGGCTGAGGCAGGAGAATCACTTGAACCTGGGAGGTGGAGGTTGCAGTGAGTTGAGATAGCACCACCACACTCCCGCCTGGGCAACAAGAGCGAAACTCAGTCTCAAAAATAAGAAAAACAAAAAATAAAATAACCAGAAGATACACTCATTAAAGTAAACATAAAAATACAGAAAAGCATATAAAAGTTTACAATCTAAAGTTACAATCCTCCACATGGCAATCACTAACTACTATTGTTGTCAGTAGCTAATTATTTAAAACACAAATGTGACCATCACTCCCTTGTTCAAAAACCTTCAACCTCCCCCTCCCTACCTATAGGATCAAGCACAGATTCCACGGTACGACCTTGTTTCCCACTTGGCCAGGTACTTACAGAAAACCACCAGGCCTTTTACCAACATGACAGCTTCCTTCCCATGGCTGTGTGAAAGTCTCGTTTCCTGGAGAACATCTAGTAAGTATCCATCAGGACCCAGTTCCAAGGGGACACTCCCCAGGACACAGTCGGGATTCACCTAACAGGGCCTGTAGCCACTCCCACACCCAGGACCGCAGCCTCCACTTGCCTGTGATGTGGCTGATCAGTTACAATGTAACCACTTGTTCAAATCTGTTCCCCTTGCTGTTTGCTAACTTTGAAGACAGCACTGTATACACAGGGCCCCAGCTCTCTACACAAATTTTTGTTGAAGGAATTTCCTCCAGTGGGGAAGAATATAATTCAATAAATGTTTACCATGTACTGTGTCAAAGGTGACTCAAAGAGGACTGTCTGGTAGTCTCCAACCTCAGTAAGTTTATAATATTACCTTCCTGTAATTAACACACTGCACTAGGTACTGTGGAACAGGAAGGGGGAAAGGAAATGTGGGAGCATAAAGCATGCTACAGAGACCTGAAGGGATGTGCAGATCTGTGTAGGAGGCGGCAACGGAAGACACTTCAGATGGAAAAAAATCAAGGCAGGTGTTAAGAATACTCAGGATTAACCCCAAGAAACTGGGGGAATGGCAAACAAGGGCTTAGGGAAAGATATCAGGGCAGAAGGCAGTATCGGAATAAATCAGGAACAATGCCTGGCACATTATTTTACAGATGAGAGACTGAGGCCTGGGATGAGGAGGAGGCCAGGGGGAATAAATTGCTCCAAGTTCTTACTTTCCATCTGCTTCCCTGGCTTAATGGCAGATCATGACTTTTAAAATTCCATGCATAAAAGCCCACAAATAAAATTATGTTAAGAAGATCTGAGTTTTTAATAATGTTTAATGTAGTGAGGAACATGGTTCTAAACTTTTCGTAAGTAAGGTTTAAGGCCAAGGACGTAACTGGGGTCCCAAAAGAGGGGCTTAGCTCTAGAATGATCTGACAAGTCCATCAGTAAGAGGTTTCAGCCCTGATTAGTCCAGGTTCCTCATTAGCATGTTACAAAATATTTTACAGTGCACTGGTCAATCTCAACTTACCACATCTGTACCAGAAAAATTTACAGTAGCCTAGTATCATGAAAATAATCTCATCATACTTTGGCATTGTGGCTAAAAGACCATGGAACCAGACTGCTTAGAGTCAAATGTAGTTCTGCCATTTACTAATGACGAGGTTCAGAACACACTTCACCAAAATATGGTGCCTTCGCATTTGAGGACACAGCAGAAGCAGGGGGGTCTCTCGGCCCCTCTCCTGCCCTCTTCCCTGAAGCAGGCCATAAAGGAATCCCTCAGACCTTCCCCCGAAAATAGGTCATAAGACCTCATTACAGAGGGACCTCCTTGTACACAGAGAAAAACAATGTCCTTATCCCGAAAGACACAGACACCAAGAGGAACTGAAACAAACAGGACTTGCTAAGTTCCCCTGGTTTATTACCATAGATCATGCCCTTCTGTCCTCCAATTATACTTCTGCACAACTATCTGTAAAAGTACAGTTTTCCCTGTTCCTTTGGGTCTTCATTTCTGGAGGCTCTAATGTCATGTAAAACTTACATTAAATACATTTGTATGCTTTTCTCTTGTTGATCTTTTGTTAGAGATGTCTCAGCCATGAACCCCGTGGTGGGTGAGGAAAAAGATACCACTTTTCTGTCCTACCCTAGCCAAGTGACTTTAATCAAGTCACTTAACTTCTCTGACTTACTTTGTTTCTCTGAAGAAGGGAGAAAAAGGTAACACCTTGCTATGAATGAGTATATGCAAAGCACTTAGAACAATGCCTGTACATGGTAAGGCACCATACATGTTAGTTGTTGTTTCTCTAAGTTAAACAATGAGTATAACAATCACAAAAAAGTCAAACGTATGACATATTTATAGGCCATTTGATATAGTTTAAATATTTGCCCCCTAAATCTCATGATGAAACCTGATCAACAGTTGGAAGTGAGGCCTAATGGGAGGTGGCTGGGTCATAGAGGCGGATCCCTCATGAATAGCTTGCTCCCCTCCTTGTGGTAATAAGTGACTTCTTGCTCTGTTAGTTTCTGTGAGATGTTTGTTAAAATAGCCTGGCATCCTCCTCCCCCTCTCTTCCTCCCACCCTCTCGCCATGTGACACACTTGCTCCTCCTTGCCTTCCACCATGATTGGAAGCTTCCTGAGTCCCCCTCACTAGAAACAGGCACTGGTGCCATGCTTATTCTACAGGCTGCAGAATCAAGAACCAAATAAACCTCTTTTCCTTATAAATTAGCCATTCTCAGGCATTCCTTTACAGCAACGCAAATGAACTAACACACCACTACACTTTAAGAGGTGGCCATATTCACATACAATTATACAAATGAACTAACGCACCACTATACTTTAAGAGGTGGCCATATTCACATACAATTATACAATGAACTAACGCACCACTATACTTTAAGAGGTGGCCATATTCACATACAATTATACAAATGAACTAACACACCACTATACTTTAAGAGGTGGCCATATTCACATACAATTATACAAATGAACTAACACACCACTATACTTTAAGATATGGCCATATTCACATACAATTATAAAGAAATTCAAGCAGTCTCACACACATCAGCATCTCCTATACAACTTGTCACAAGTATCCCTATGTTCCTAGTACTTCAAGAAGCCCTTTTTTGGTGTCCCTTTTCTGGGTAAAGAAGCAAAGCATAGGTCAGCATCCTAAATCTATCCTTTAAGTGACCCAATTCTTTAATCTCTGTAAGGCGCCTCCTGCTTTATTAGGCTTTCAGGCATTTCCATGCTTATGTACATTAGAAAGATGAAGATATGCTTCCATACCTGCTTCTGAGGATGAAAACGCATGATTTATGGTAGACACGGGAACATTGGAACATTCAAAGTACTCCAGGTCTTCCTCTGGCTCACCTTTCACCTCGGCCCCAGCTGATTTCTGACCACATGACGTGGATGCCAGTTTCTCCTCATCGGTAGCATGGCCATCCCTATTAGAAATGTCTGAAATCTGGGAGATCACTGCTCCTTCATCCTGAGAAACACAACAGAGAAGATGCTACCCTTTAGGAGGGCAAGCAATGGGGAAAACTGACGTCCCATGAATGGAACAAGGTAGACACAACTCCATACAGATATGTGAGAGGTTAACCACAGATCAGGGTACAAAGCAAGGAGGAAGTTGGAGTCTTTCAATTGTGAGATATTGTTTTATAGAACCTAGTTTCTGTAATTTGAGTCTGAGGTTTTAAAAAATGATCTTCTCTAGGTTAAGTTTATAAGCAAGCAGTTTAAGTGGTTTAAGACAATGGTTTTCAATTTTTTTGCTTGTATACCTCCTAATTTTAAAAAAAAATCTATGTACCCCATTGCATTTTCAAGTGACAGCTAAAAACTTTTTGGCATAAGTTTAAATAATCACAAAGAATGTAATATCTGGAATATTCTAAATATTGAATTTACTTAATGCTATCTAGTTACCTTGGTGATTTGATACCATATGTAAATTTACACTAACAAGTTCCTGAATAAGTCAGAAGTTTATGTTATTCCTTTTCCTCTCTACATCTGTATTTCCATTTCACTTCCATCATGAAATCCAAATGAAAAACATCTGCATGGCTGGAAGTCTTTTAAAGGTCTCTATCCAATGTCTCTGTGAAACTTTTTTCTTTGACTGTAAGTCTTAAAATTTTTTTCTGCTGGAGAGTTATTATATTAATGCATAACTTATTTTCAAAATATTGCAAGTTTTGATAAGTATTATCAGACACAAAAGTAAGTTGTTATATCAATTACAAAATGTTTTATTGCACTAATTCTTAAAAACTTTTACAGTGCAATAAATGGGTTTTATTTTATATCCAATAAATGGGTTTGGGGTTTCTTTTTTTTTTTTTTTTTAAAGACCAAAGATAAATTTCTCATAGGTCTTGCTGCCTACTTTAGCAAAATCTGGGAGAATCTTTTACACATTTGTAACAGATGAAAAATAACTCAGATTGCAAATTTCCCCCACCACACCCCTTTTTTACATTTTACACCATATACCAAGTTTCTGGTCCAAATTGTATAGGATAAGTTACGTTAAATTGAACTCTATTAAACAATGAATGTATTCCTGTAATAAGTATACTGACAAAGTTTTAAAAAGAACAAAAGGATCTCATCGCAATCAGATGGGCCTGGGTTTCGGTTTATTTGTTTTGCAATTAGTCTATACGGTCATGGATGGATACTATTTATTGCTAGAATGTAACAAAGGTCAATATCAATTTTATTCCTGGTTTCTATTTTTATAAATATAATCATTAAGAAACCTTATTTATATAAACAATAGATGAAACAGAAGGTAGTTCTGTAACATAAGTGCCTTTCAATTCTTTGAACCCCTTTCCAAGTTATGTGCTCCAAAAAATCTATCATCAAACATTATTTTTAGATCAGTTAACAACTCAGGTTTTCCTCTATTGTTGAAAGCAATGAATTAGAAAACCATCTGACTTAAGAAAAATACCATCCAGTTATTAGTCAATTATCTTCTTAGCACCTATACCGATATTTCAGATCTTCCCTTTGGTGCCCTGCAGACTTTCACACCCTGTGGTGATGGTGATGCATCTTTGTAGCACTCAAAGTGGGAATTTTACCAAAAAAAAGTCATTGTGAAAGGGTTCGCTTGTCTTCAGGGGCCTTCTCTTCAGGGACAGTAAGGATCTGTTTAAAACTGAGTACTCAGGCACCCATTGGAAAGTCCTTTTGAACCACCCACCAGGGGTATGCAAACTCCCACTGGGGGACCCCTGGTCTAAGAGACGTTCTGGGGATGGACACAGACTCACCTGGGAACATGCATCCAAAGCGAGAGACTGAGTTTCATGCTTCTTCACCTTACAGCCACTCCTGGAAAGAGAAGAAACACAAACAAGCCAGTTTGCAATCACACTGACAACTGTCAAGGTATGAAATGGAGCAGAGAGCAGTGTGTGCGGATAGAAGCCAAAGCGTACAGCACCACACAAATCATACATCGCCGCATGAGAGAGGCAGGGATACCTTTTATGCCTCTGAGTTTTCCCCAGAGAGACGAGGTAAGCAAAGACCTACAGTGGGGCTCATTCTCTGAAAAGACCCCCTCCGCCTGCTTCTGTGAGTTGTCAAACAGTAGCACTCTGATGTCTATGGTTTTTAATTACACGCCACCAAAAGCTTTTCAGACAGTAGAGCCTTAGCAGCTGGAGACATTCAGTTCCTCTGAGCCTCACTCACTTGGCTTTGACGTTCATTAGAAAAATCATCACGCTGGACCAAATTCTTTAAAAATTCTTTATTGCTCTAAAACCCATAGACGTCTCATAAAACAGTTCCAGTTAAGACTTGTGTGCTCACAGAGAAGAACTGTCAATAAAAATTATAAAAATAAAACTATGTGGGTAAACTGTTACCATTCCTATTAAGTAGTAAGATGGAAGATGAATGTCACATGCTGCACAAAGCCTGAAACTGGGGAAGCTTGAACCACCTGTTATTTGTAGATTAGCACACAACTTGTGATCACAGGACTAATTCAGATTCTGTTCTAATAAACTTAGAATTTCCAGTAAAAACACCACTGTGACCAAAAAAAAGAGAAAAAATTACTTGCAACTTTTTTTCTTTTGTGAGAAAAAATACAAAGACAAGCACATAAGTTACCAGAATGTGCATAATCACTAGTTCATGATCTTCTTTCCCTAATCTTCTTACTGAGTGCTACCCTCTGCCACCAAACTCAAGTTGAGCTGACTCAGTAAAATTTATTAACTGTTCCAAGCCAGTAGCTTTATCCTACCAAAACAAGCCAATGATTTCCAATATTAAATAGCAGAACAGTCCCTCAAACCACTGCTGCGATGATCTTGGGGCCAAGCCAGCTTTTGGTATTGTCAAAGCGCCACATGACACCTGCCAAGCCAGGGAGCGCAAGCTCTAGCACCTAAGGTGTAAAGACCAAGCCCCACTCCCTTAGGTATGGACAACTGCAAGGCTAAGCTGACTCATGAAGTGACTGATGAAATGCAAAAAAAATCATCAGAAGATCAAACTCAGAATTAGAAGCAAACATGCTATGGAGAGATGGCTGGGGGAAGGGGGAGAGGAAACTGCCAACGGTCCCAGTGACAAAAGAAACAGCAGGAGTACTTACAACAGAAAACAGAGAAATTTCACTTGTTCAGTAGTCCTGATGCACCAACCAAATTAGAGACAGGAAAGAGACAGACAGATGGAGAAAAAAAATCATGTAAAGACTGGAATATTCAACTCTAGTCTGGCAGATGTAAAAGCTGCACAATTCTCTCTATGAGGTGAGATATAAATTAAAAATGTATTCATGAATGTTATCACTAGTGAGTGAATGATGAACAGACCTCATCTACAAAACAGACTAGTAGAAACACTCAGAAATGCCACAAATTCAAATTTATAGATGAAAAATAAACTTCCAAGAGGTCTAGCACTCCTTTCTTCTAAAAAGAACAAGAAGACAAGATTTTTGATTGCATAAGGACTTAAACCCCTATTAAGTGTATTAGATCAAGAAGTTCATTCAACAAAAACAGAATAGGGGAAAAAGGTTACCGGGTGAGGGTGGTAGAACTCGAGAAATGGTGCTTCTTGCTGCTGAATATAAAGTGTAGAATAAATTACCCTTTCTTTGGCCCAGATTTCATCTTATTTAACGCATTGGTGGCATGCAACTGAAAGATTCACAAATGACTCATCAACTTCAGTAGGCAGAAGCATCCCACATTTAGGGGAGGAAGTACCTAGGCAGTGATGTGCCCAGTACATACCCTCAGTGCTGTCTAGAGAGAAGTAACCCCAACCTTAAAAGCCACAAAAAAGGGCATCCAATCAATAATATTTTCCAACAACCATTTAACTGCTTATATACAATCAAGCAACAGATCGAGAGCTACTAATGACATTTCACTCCCCTTAGCCATTCTGGGGCTGCTGAGGAACTGGTTCCTACATCTCTCTACTTTCTTGGTCCTGAAGTTGATCCTTCTGCTCTTTAAACCTCTGGGCATCTTCCTTTCTGCTGTAAGTCACCATGATATCCAGAGTTTTTCTTTAAGTCATAGCAATGCTGAGAAGCATTTCCCCAACTGACATACAGTGACAACTACAAGCACAGTGCTTCTCATACTCCTTGTACATATTTCATCCTGCATCTCATTGGTCCTTCTTTGTATCTCCATTTTACTCAAACTTTTTAGTAAAATGTCACAGGGCCACAAAAGGATATACAGTCAGGTGCCATGTAATGACGTTTCAGTCATGTATACGATGGTGGTCCCGTAGGGTTATAATGGAACTGAAAAACTATTGTCTAGTGATGTCCTGATGATCCTGACCCAGGGTAGGCCTAGGTAATGTGTGTGTCTGTGTCTTAGTTTTTAACAAAAATTTTAAAAAGCACATAAATAAATAATTTTACACAAAGAAAACTTACGGAATAGGGATATAAAGAAAGAAAATATTTTTGTATAGCTGTACCATGTGTTTGTGTTTTAACCTAAGTATTATTACAAAAGTCAAAATTTCTTTAAAAATTTAAAAGTTGATAAAGTAAACGTTACAGTAAGCTAAACTTAATCTATTAATGAAGGAAAAAAATTTAAATAAATTTAGTGTAGCTGAAGTGTACCGTGTTTATAGAGGCTACAGTAGTGTACAGTAATGTCCCAGGCCTTCACATTCACTCACCACTCACTGACTCACTCAGAGCAACTTCCAGTTCTGCAAGCTCCATTCATGGTAAGGGCCCTACACAGGTGTATTATTTTTTATCTTTTATACTATATTTTTACTGTACATTTTCTATGCTTAGATATGTTTAGATACACAAATACTGACCACTGTGTTACACTGCCTATAGTAGTTTTTTTTTTTTTTTAAGACTGGGTCTTGCTCTGCCAGCCAGGCTGGAGTACAATGACATAATCCTGGCTCATGGTAACCTCAATCTCCTGGGCTCAAGCAATCCTCCTGCCTCAACCCCCTGAGTAGCTGGGACTACAGGTATGCACCACCACTCCCAGCTAATTTAAAAAAATTTTTTAAAGAGACAGGGGACTGGTGGGGGGCTCTATGTTGCCCAGGCTGATCTTGAACTCCTGGCCTCAAGGGATCCTCCCACCTTGGCCTCCCAAAGTGTTAGCATTACAGGTGTGAGCCACCACACCTAGCACCTACAGTATTCAGTATGATAATGTGCTGTACAGGGTTGTAGCCTAGGAGCAATAGGCTGTACCATATAGCCTAGGTATGTAGTAGGTTACACCACCTAGGTTTGAGTAAGTTCACCTGATGATGTTCACACAACAAAATCACCAAAGGATGCACTTCCCTGTGGCTTATCCTGTGGCTAAGTGATGTATGATTGTATTATCATCTACTCAAGTTTTGTGATAAAGTAATCCTGTAGCAAAGTTAAACTGAAACTTGATATGGAATATGACCTTAGGTAATTATACTGAAAACTCCAAGGACCTTGCAAAAGTCAGATAATTTCCCAGAAGAGATGGGGGATTGACTAAACTGACTACTCAGTTTTAACAGATAATGTAAAATATTCTTGATTCTTATTAAAAATTTACCTTCTGGGCGATGAGCCAGAAATTACACATGGAGACAAGAATTCTCATCAATTTTAGTGGTAGGTTTGTTTCCCACAAAAATCATAGCTTTCTGTTTATGTAAAAAGTCTTCTTTCTACAAGACCCTTTTGGACCATTTCCCACGTTATTGACGCTACAGAGGTAAGTTATAGGATTGGAATTTCTGTTTTATCCATAAAGAATATGAAGACGGTGGCCAGCACTGACATTTGAATTGTCTATAACATGACTCCTAACAGCCCAGCCAGGATTTCTGAAAACCATCAAATCTCTACCTGCCTATCTCATGCCATTTTTTTTTTTTGGGGGGGGATGGAGTCTTGCTGTCGCTCAGGCTGGAGTGCAGTGGCATGATCTTGGCTCACTGCAACCTCTGCCTCCTGGGTTCAAGCAATTCTCGTGTCTCAGCCTCCCGGGTAGCTGAGACTACAGGTATGCACCACCATGCCCAGCTAATTTTTGCATTTTTAGTAGGGAAGGTTTCACCATGTTAGACAGGCTGGTCTCAAACTCCGGACCTCAAGTGATTCACCTGTGTCGACCTCCCAAACTGCTGGGACTACAGGTGTCAGCCACCATGCCCAGCCTATTTTTTTAAAAACATAAAAAAGTCTCTAGGGCCAGGGGAAAAGAACTTAGCTGATTAAGCCGAGGATTCAGAAATAAGGCAACAATTGGAAAAGGAAACCTCTGGTATTTCCGATTCCACACAACAGGCCAAATAGTGAAGACTGCAGGATAACGTTATGAGCTTTGTATCAACCTCGGTGCACCTCAAAGGTAAACTCAGTTCACCAAAGCCAAAAGTAGCCAGCTGCCAAACTCACAGAGAAGACACAGAGCACGACACCCAGCGCCCACTGTCACTCACGTTATTAAACGCGACTTTGCCTTCTTGGGTGATTCTAAGATTTCATTAACATGATTACCAGTGGGAGAACAAAAGTCACTGCTTGTTAAGGTCGTAGTTGGTTTAAAGGGATCCACAGATTCGTCAAAGTTATCTGGGTCAAAGTGGTAGGAACCCTCAGAAGAAAGGGATGGGGAGTTCTGCAGAATAGAGTGGCTCCCAAAGGGGTTGAAGCTGGCGTTTTCCCACTGACTAGGATCTAGCTTGGAAGATGTTTGGGAGAGAGGCCCGTCACGTGCCACTGGGTCTGTAGGCTGTTCTAAACCTGCTGACTTACTGATGCCATCTTTTTGCATCTTGGGAATCAGTTTGCTACCCGGTTTCCTGCCAAGCTTCCTTGGAAGGGCTTTCCTGGCCTCTATGTTTCCCATATCGTCTGTGAAATCAAACTCAAGCTTGAGAGGTAAGCTCCTGGACTCCTCCCCCAGCTCAACCCCTGAGTCGTTTGTGTCACTACTGAGAGTGCCGGGAGTTTCTTTAAGGTCAGGGGGAGACTTCTGGAACATGGCACCTCCTAGCGAAGAAGGACTTGTGTTCTCATCCAGCTCTTCAGGACTGAAGTGGTAGGATGCTTTGGGGAGAGGTGTACCCTCCGCAGCAGCATCGGTGTCTGAGAACTCTCCTCCAATTGCTTTCTTCCTCAGGGGGACAGGCTTGGGCTTTCTCAGCTTGCTTCTTCTGCTGGGCACAGGCTCTGGACAGGAGTCGCCAGCTTTTAGATTGGCTTCTGTGGAGGGCTCAAGGGTGACCCCCATGCTGCCTTCCGTCATCGCCTCGTCCTGGACGGCGTCTGGCGGGCTGGAAGGCAGAGCCTTGCCTGAGACTGCAGTTACACAGCCATGAGCTGCTTTTGTTCCAAGGGCTGCCGAGATATCCGTGGAATCCCTCGTTTCTATTGAAAATGGCCTCACAATGGAAATTTTGCTAAAATCATGTTCAGGCTCCTCTTTGAAATTCTTGACTGAGTGAGAATCAATGGTCTGCTGTGGCACTTCATTTTCTGAAGGTTTAGAACAAGTCTTAGATGAACATTTTTCAACCACTTCTGCTACAAGCTCTTCATCAGCTTCTTGTGATTCTAAAATGAAACACAAAAACCACCTATTAAAGAATTATCTTTCTGTCATTGGTAAATATCTTTTCCTACCTGAATTCATATAAACAAACAGCAAGTTCTTCCCCCTTTGCTTTTATTAACCATCTCTAAAGTTCAGCAAGGATGGCAGCACAGCCTGAAAAAGAAGAGTAGCACAACACCCTAAAATGAATTTTCCTATCCCAAGTTGCGTATGCGCATTACCCAAGTGATACGAATGGCAACTACACCAAAAGGGCTATTTAGAAAAAGGATAAATAGAGCAAGAGTCTGCTGCAATGTATATTAAGTGATGTTAACATTCTGTAGGGTAAAACTGGCCTGGAGGAATCTTTAGAAACCAACAGCTACAGTGCAGGGAGTTAGATTGGCGCTGAGATAGTTCCTAGGCACAGCCGGACAGCTTCAGGGTCAGAACTTTATGCAGTGAACAGATTTGAATCTTTGGATGTTAAAAACACAAGTATCTTGGGAGGCCAAGGCGGGCACATCATGAGGTCAAGAGATCGAGACCATCCTGGCTAACATGGTGAAACCCCATCTCTACTAAAAATACAAAAATTAGCTGGGCGTGGTGGCACATGCCTGTAGTCCCAACAACTCGGGAGGCTGAGGCAGGAGAATCACTTGAACCCGGGAGACGGAGGATGCAGTGAGCTGAGATTGCACCACTGCATTCCAGCCTAGACTCCGTCTCAAAAAAAAGAAAAAAGAAAAAAAGAAAAAAACCCACAAGTATCCACAGAACAGAATTTAAAAAGACTGTTTCAAAAATAAATTTAAAAAATCTACTGTGACCAACTCAGAATCATCTCTCCGTAGCCCTAAAAACTAAAAGAACCAAATAAGAAAGCTAATTTGAAAAACCAGATATGGAAATGGCTTTAAAACAAATAGCCCTTATTTTACTAAGACACAAATTATAAAACAATAAAGTTATTTTTTCTTTAGAACCTCTGTCTCTAAGACAGACCAGGAATTCTCTAAATCACTTGTGAAAAATAAAAACCCTTTTTAATTGAGGTCTTACTAGGATAAGTGCTGCAAATATTAGGAAGGTGTGAATTAGGTGATTTCATTAAAGCACAAAGTGATTTCCTGACATAGATATCTGAAACAAGAGTAGCACAGAAAACTCAGTGAATTGCTTATAATATCTCAAGATTTTAAATGAAATTAAGAGATGACCCTCTAATCCTACTTCCTAATCCTAATCCAGGAGCAGAGTCAAGTACCACTGGAATATCATAGCAATAGTTTTTATTTTTGTTTTTCTTGAGACAGTGTCTCTGTTACCCAGGCTGGAGTACAGTGGCCTGATCTTGGCTCACTGCAGCCTTGACCTCCCCAGGCTCAAGTGATCCTCCCACCACAGCCTCCCAAGTAATTGGGACCACAGGCATGAGCCACCAAGCTTGTTAATTTTTATTTTAATTTATTTTTTATGTAGAGACAGGACAGCCAAGTTGCCCAGGCTGGTCTCACTGGGCTCAAGCAATCTGCCTGCCTTGGTCTCCCAAAGTGCCGGGGTCACAGGTACAAGCCACTGCACCAGCCTGTTCTTTTTTTTTTTTTTTTAAAGGGGTCTCTCACTCTGTTGCCCAGGCTGGAGTGCAGTGGTGTGATCATAGCTCACTGCAGCCTCAAACTCTGGGGCTCAAGCAATCCTCCCACCTCAGCTGCCTGAGTAGCTGGGATTTGGAATAGTTTTTTTAAAGCACTCACACACCTTTCTCATGAATCTTTTATGATTATTATTGGGTAGTGGTTTATAAATTATACTTCACAAATATACTTCAGATATTCTACAAATGTCCAATTAAAATTTTTCTTATAAATATATGTTTATTATTAATACGAAGTCTCAGTACTTCATAACCAGAATTTGGTTTAACATATTTCAAAAGGATTTTTTAAAAAAGAGATAGTAAGTATGGCAAAATCTTGGTAACTGTTGCCCAGGGATAGGTATATGGGAGTTTTCATTGTATTATTTTCTCTGTCATACAGTTGTGAAACTTTTCATAATAGAAAGTTTAAAAACTCAACTGCAATACACACAAAATTTTAACAAGAACATTTTAAACTGTACTGACAATTTCACTTATGTGTACAGAGTCTATTATCTCTGTCCATGTATGCGAACTGTTATAAATGTGTTATTGTTTCTTTGTGCTGATGATGGGGAGGCAGACAACTGAAAACAAGCCATCAACACCCTAGGGCTGCAAATATCCATGTGTTTCCGTGTACAACTGGCTCAGTTAAAACACAGGCCAGTTGTACAACAGTGAGTCTTGATTATATCAAGGTTTAGATAGTTATCACTCCTTTTAAGTGTTGGTGCTTATTGTCAGCTTTTTAGATTCAACACAGGTGGTATAACAAAAATATGTATTTTGCCTTTGTCCTCAGTCCCTGGCACAGAGCTCCCTACCCCTGGAACCTCCTGACTGGTCAGTGTCTTTTGTGTGCTAATGAATGACTGGGTGCTGGGGGTCCCCTGACAGCTGCAGGAACGGGTTGGTCACCAGAAAGACCAAGCCAAGATTAGAGGGTTGCAACTTTCAGCACCGTCCCCATTCCTTCCAGGGAGGGGAGAAAGGCTGGAAAATGAGCTCAATCACCAAGGCCAATAATTTAATCAATCATACCTATGTGATGAAACCTCTATAAATACTCCCAAACGACAGGGACAGGGAGCTTCCAGGTTGGTGGACACGTTGACTTACTGGGAGGGTGGTGTGCCCAGAGGGCGTGGAAGCTCTGCACGCCTGCAGGTATGGGGATACCTTGCCCTATGTATCCCTTGCATTTGGCAGTTCCTGAGTTGTATCCTTCATAATAAGCCAGTAAATATAAGTATTTTTCTGAGTTCTGTGAGTCGTTCTAGCAAATTACTGAAACTGAGGAGTTCTGAGAATCCCCAGATTTATAGCCAGTTGGTCAGAAGCACTGAGACTTGCAACTGGTATCTGAAGTGGCGGCAGTCTCGTGGGACTGAGACCTTATCTTGTGGGGTCTGCACCAGAGAGTGTAAGAAACGAACTGAATTCTTGGAAACCCAGTTGGTGCTGGAGAATCTGAGAACACCCAGAACAGGAAATGTGCCTTTTAACAGTGACTATTTAAGAGACACAGCACTAAATTATCTGAGATTTTTAAAAATGATACTTCTAAATATCTCAGTTTTGTATTTTCTACCAAAAAGATTTAAACTTATGAGGAACCACTTTATGTACTATTTCTAAAATTTACATCTATAAAATTAATAAATTGGACGAATTGTTAGATATTGTTAATAACTCAAATCTGAAACACAAATTCCCCTCTGCTCCTCTTTCAGACTTTTGGAATAGTTTAATTAAGGCATGCTCTCAGGCACTAAGCTGAATTATTAAAAAACTTATCTGCAACTACTGACCTGCATAAATCAAGGTTCTTTCAATCATGTAACCCAAACACTACTGAAATAAATTTGATTCTTTTTTTTTTTTTTTTTTTTAACACGGTCTCACTATGTTGGGCCTAGGCTGATCCTGAACTCCTGGCTCAAAGGCATCCTCCCCTCCTGAGTAGCTGGGATTACAGGTGCATGCCACCACATCTGGCTTAGTTTTTAATTAGACTCTGATTCAGTTATTTTGTATGTTTCAATCTCACAAATCTCATTGTTTTTAAAACTAATGTTTTTAATCTTTACAACCATAATATATGTCACCTTAAAGTCTATTATATATTAGAGTCCACATTTTTTTTTTTTTTTTTGAGGAAAAGGTTCCACTGCCTTAAGATTTTGAAAACTATGGTTAAAGTGGAAAGTGCATCTCTAAAAATGGTGATATGGAAGTAAGTGGGGATAAATAACCCTTCTAGGAACTTAATACACATATCCTTTTAAGGAGAACTTCAGTATCTCTCAGTTGTACTACAGATGACCTCACTGTAAGTAACAGATCTTGAAAATCCTATACAAGAGGTTGTATTTTAACGTCTTTATCCTGGTGCGCCCAGCAGGAGTGGATGGCGTGGCATGGTGGGAGAGCCACCCTTTCCATATGCTGACAAGCAAGAAATGGTCCTGAGCCACCGTTTCTCTATCTAGAAAACTATTTCACACTACAGTTTACTATAATCAAACTAATATACTGGGAGAGCTTGTTACCAAAATAAATCATGATGGATTTGGTAAAAATAAAAATTCTACTTCTAAAATATTGGTACGATACATGCATTTTCTTGTGTACAATTTATAAAGTGATATTTACCCATAAACTAATTAGCCTATATTAAATGTTAGGACAAGAACTACCTCCTTTCATTTGCTTTGGATTTGTTTTCCAATGGATTTTTTTATTTGGTTATTTCAGTACTTTGGTCTATAAAGAGGTGATTCTGGGCCAGATATGGGAGGTTTTCTATTTATTTTTGAAACAGTCTGATTACTTAAACCCTGTTCTGTGGAATAGGGAATACAGTTATGTGTTGGTTAACAACAGATTCTGAGAAATCTGTCATTAGGTGATTTCGTCATTGTGCAGGTCACTGTGTGATCATTATAGAGTGTACTTGACACAAACCTAGATGGTATATCTACTACATACCTATTGTATAGTCTATTGCTCTTAGGCTACAAACCTGAACAGCATGTTACCATACTGAAATACTGTAGGCAATGGTAACACAATGCTAAGTATTTGTGTATCTAAACACAGAAAACGTACAGTAAAAATATGGTATTATAATCTTACGTGATCACATCATATATGCAGTCAGTCACTGATCAAAATATCATTATGTGGTGAATGACTGTATTTGTATTTTTAACTTCCAACCATTCAAATCTGCTCACTGCATAAAATTCTAATCCTGAAACTGTCAGGCTGTGCCTGGGAACTCAGTACCCATCTGCATCCCTCACATTTAAGCTGTTGATGTCCAATGGCTCCTCTGGACCTACAAAATGTTAATACCACATCAGA